AAAAAAAAAAAAAAAAACCCAGGAGGTTGAATCAATGTCCCCCAACTTTTTTCCTTTCCAAATTATTATTTTTCTTACACTATAGTAGAGTCAGAAAGGTGAAAATTATAAACCTAAAGTATAAAGATCAGAAAGCAATCGGCCATTTGATCACAAGCACAGGCAGAGAACATATGCTTCTTGATACGTAGATTATCTTCCACAAAACAAAAATCATAAACATCTTGAAAATGGGAGATAGAGACTGATAGGTTTCTAGTAGCAAGTTTATAAATTGAAAATCAATACTTTTCATTATTCATAAGTTAAATGCTTAAAACATGTTGACAATCATTTTTATTTTGTGGGCTGTAGTTCATCAAAATGAAAACAGTGTCACAAGTTTTCACATGAATTTTAAATTTACTTTAAGTGTGAATTCTATTATTTCTCATAATATCTTGAATTCTTGAATCATGAATTCTTTGATCATGAAGGTTTCTAGGAACCCAACTCTAACACTTGGGAAGGACTTTTATGTGTCCTAAAATGTTTTGACCCCATTAAGACCCCATTTGGGAAATGTTTTGACCCCAAAAAACTGGTTGGTTTAATAAAACTAGAGCTGGGCATATCAAGTCCAATAAATTATGTCTTAAAAAGGGTGTTAATGTGGCCAGCACAGAATAACCACAAATGAAAGAAATGTCCCAGAAGAGAAAAGGTCCCTTGAGGATTGAGTCTACTGGGTGGGGGAATAGTAAAATTCAGCTCCTCAAGAGCCACAGCCATTTCCACCGAAAAGGGGCCGTGCTCAGGGACAGGAAGAATCCACCCTCTTGGGAGCAATGGCAGCTACAGGCCCCAAATCATCCTGGTCCCCTCTGGACATCTCTCAGTTAGTTGTCACTGACCATTTACTGACCTCACTTGTGAGAATTCAGTTATACGCCTTTACCAGATGGTTAGACAAGCAGAATCAGGGAGCAATTCCGGAAACTAGGAGAGGGAGCCCTGGAAGAAAACAGGGAAGCTTTAATGGAAAGAGTGTATAAATACTTGTTTAGTTCTCTGTGATCTATCTAGTGTGTGAGGTCCGTGGTAAGAGAGATACCTCTAGAAAGATTAAATCACTTTTCTAAGTGCAAGTGTTACTGATCCTTAATTTCTTCATTGTGACCAGGCATAGATATGAAAATCAAGACAAATAAAAGTATGCCTTCACACTTCCTCATCATCACCTCTCTGTGGTGGCCAGTCCTAACCAGGAGAAGGCCATCCACAGAAACAGAGGCTTCAGCATTGCTTTTAAGTGATTTACAACTTCTTGCTTTGGACTTTGTGTTTATAACATCTTACCTCGGCTTAGGCCTCTTATCCTGTCAGGATCATTTACTGTTCCTTGTTCCCGAATGGACTGACTTCTTGGAAGTGATTCTTTGGTTGTTGTTCATGTTAACCTGATGTTTAGACCTTCAGCAGTCATGTTCTTCTGTTCCTGTGCTTAATAATGTTGACTCCTGAGTTCTTGTTCGATGAAAAAGCTTTATATACAACAGTCATTTTATTCTTTCATGCCAGTTGTATTCTATCTGCAAAAGTTATGAACATTTTTATTAGGTTCATAGAAAATCTTTTTCACAACAGCAATTGTGTTCTGAAGCACAGAAATCTCAAATTCATAATCTATCAAGCTCTAAGGGCTTAAATTATAGAAAAATTATGCTTTTTCACTTCTTTTAAAATCTAATGTAGGGGCGCCTGGGTGGCGCAGTCGGTTAAGCGTCCGACTTCAGCCAGGTCACGATCTCGCGGTCCGTGAGTTCGAGCCCCGCGTCAGGCTCTGGGCTGATGGCTCAGAGCCTGGAGCCTGTTTCCGATTCTGTGTCTCCCTCTCTCTCTGCCCCTCCCCCGTTCATGCTCTGTCTCTCTCTGTCCCAAAAATAAATAAAAAAATGTTGAAAAAAAAAAAAAAAAAAAAAAAATCTAATGTAAAATTTTATTTTACAGGCATCCTCAACTAGAATTGGACTTGGGACCAAGTCCCTGAGAGAATCATTTTTCAGTTACTGTATATGCTTGTCAGTTAATCTGAGACAATTAAGTTTTACCCTCGTATTTTATAACTAGGAGTACAGCAACTTTCCAGAAGAGTTTGAAGAAAATTAGGATTTAATGCTTTCCAGATGAAGAGAAGAAAATTCACCCGTCATACCCTAGATTATTTATTGTTTATATTTATTGTAGCTTTCTCCAGAGGGAAGCAGAGCTACGCATAAAGCCTGTGGTGCTTACTGAGACAACAAATGTGACTCTATCCCACTTGTAACTTGATACATACTTACACAGTTTGTAGGTCATATGAGACTTGGGTTTCTTGGCTTCCCAATTTAGGGGAACGTAGCTGTTGAATGAGGTGGATATTGGATATTAGATAAGAGCCACTGGAATAAGACACCATAGAATGACTCAGATTTTCTGTCAAGCACCTTAGCTGTATAGGGGTTTTTTAAAATTGGGATTTTGAAGCTAGTTTATTGTTGGGTGTTACACATAAAGACACTGTGAATGTAGTCGAAAGGAAGTTAGAAAGTTTTTGCTTCTAGAAATCCAGAGTGGGAAATTGAGACTAAGAACAATTATGGACTCGTAAAAAACCAGCAGTGAAAGATGGTACTTCTTAGTTCATAAAACTAGGTAGTAAATGCTCTTTTGAGTCTTTCCTTATCTAAACTTTTTATTATTACCTAATTTTTACTTTAGTTAATCAAGTTTCGGGAACCTCGATTATTTGATAATGTTAAAAATAGATGCCTGTATGTAATAACCAACTCATCTCCATTTTCAGTTTTGATCTGTTTAACCAGGAGCAAATGAAAAATCAGTTAAACTGGAGACTCACATATTTCATTCAGTAGAAACATGATATATAATTGAAATATAATATGAGAATGCTTGAGTTTTCTGATGCCCTTTTCCAAATTTGGACTCATCAGGGTCCATTAATCTGAATTCTTTTAGTTGCTTAGTTAATACAGCGTTAATTATGAAAATTGAAATATGTGAATAAATGTACCATTTGAATAGTATTTTAGATCTGTAATTGGTATTGACAAACGAGTATAAAATTCTTCTAATGGGCTCTACAGCGAGTTGTGATGATTTTAAGTAAAATCAAGGCTTAATTATCTCATTTTCCCCTCACATTTTCCAAACTCTAAGACGCCATTTCCCTCCATCTTACTTTGGCAGGCTTTAATCCAATGTGAACAGTTGAAGAACGAACTGGAGAGGCAGAAAGAGCGACTTGAAAAAGAACTCGCATCGCAGCAAGAAAAAAGGGCCTTTGAGAAAGAGATGATGAAAAAGGACCTAACAAAAGAAAAGGAGGACCTGGGATCAAAGGTACCTGTGGATTCAGTTTGTTCCCTGCCCTGCAGCAGAAATGTTTGTGGTGATGTCACTGATGATGCTGTAGGCTACAATTTTTGAGTGAACTCTAAATTTTAAAAATCTTGTAAGTAGCCAATTGCTTATAATTTAGAGTTCAGAAACATTTTCCATTTTTCCAATGTATTTCTCGAGAAAAGGTATATTCTCGGACCTCTCCAAATAAAACAGTCAATTCGATTCCATGCTGTGAAATTGTAAAATTTGCTTTGATCCCTCCATTCTGTTTGAGTCCCTGTCTCCTGTTTCTCAGAGGAAAGGAGGTGCTCTGTGGATATATCCAGATTTTATTTCCACCTGGGTGAAGTCAAGGAGCAGTGACTCCCCCACTTTATCCCCCACTCTCAAATTAGACTTGCAGAAGATAAAACACATATAAGAAACCAAGTGGCCAAGGAAAAGTGATTATGTACACGGTACAAAGCAGGTACCCGATGAATAATGAACATAACCGGATGGATGAATAGAAGGGAGAAGTGAAGGGCCAAAAGAACAGCTGGCCTGAAATGGGCAGTGTTTGGGAAACAGTAAGAAACTGGAAGAGAGAGGGGCACCTGGTTAAGGGTCTGACTCCTGACTTTGGCACAGGTCATGATCTCATGGTTTGTGAGGTCGAGTCCCACGTCCGGCTCTGCACTGACAACGTGGAGCCTGCCTGGTATCCTCTCTCTCCCTCTTTTATGCCCCTCTCCCGTTCACTCACTCTCTCTCTCTCAAAATACATAAATAAACTTAAAAAAAAAAAAGGAACTGGAATACAGAGATAAGTGAAACCTAGCTTTCAAGTTGCTATAACAGAGTAAAATTGAGCAAGATGTGGTCCACGAAATGACCAAAACAGCAGTTACATGTTGTTGTTGTGTTTACAGCAACTCGCAGCTTGTACCCTGAATGCTGTGCTATAACATTCTAGTGTGTGATAATGACCTTATTCAGCACGTGTCTCTCCTGAGTATCTGCTGTGTGCAAGGCAATGCGATCCTGAGGATGCGTCAAGAGAAAAATCACCAACTCTGTCCAGTGAATTCGAAGTCTTACGGGTGCCTGAGGCATTTACTGTAAACTCCCTTGTCTTATCCTTTAAAAAAGCAAAAGTGTGCCTGTGGAAAGCCCACTATGTGCCAATCAAACTTTACCTTCTCCGGCCAGAATTGGTGATCTGAGCCTTGCGGATGGCACCGAGGGGTCTCATGGCCTGAGTGTCCACGGTGCTCTTGCTGCTTTCCAGCAGTCCTGCCATGCACTCCTCTCTCCCGTTCACTCAGCATGGGGCAACAGATAGTAACTGGAGGGCTCGGGGGTGTGGGTGTCCCAGGACCAGTGCAGTGCTGCTTACAGAGGAGGGAAGAGGAAGACACTAAACACACACTTCCATAAATGAGTTTTTCATTACCACTGTGATAAAGGCAGAAAAGTACAGTATAGGGTACGGTGAGAAAATCTGACCTAGTCTAGGCAGCCACGGAAGACTTTCCTAAGAAAGAGATTTTCAAAATGAGACTCGACAGCGATGAATAGTAGTCAGGTGAAGAGTTGAGGGGAAGAGTTTCAGACCCAGGGAAACAGCACCCCCCAGACTCTGAAGCTAGCAAGCATCATACTTTTTAGGAATTTAGGGGAGGCCCAGGTGACTGGGGCATAGGACGTGGGGACAGTAGTGGGAGATGAGTTTGGAGCAGTATGCAGGGACCAAAGCAGGAATGACCTTAAAATCCATGTGAAAGATTTTAGGTTTTATCCCAAACCAAGTGGAAAACCATTGAACACCTTGAAATTGGGCAGCGTCATGCTGCCATTTCTGTTTGAGAACTTCCATCTGTCAGTAAATTGGAAGAAGACTTGGAATAAATGCCTGGACATCAGGTGGGAGGTAATTATCATAGTCCCGGTGGAAATGATGGTATCTTGGGCCCATTTTCAAAGACTATTTTTTTTTTTGTTTATTTATTTTTGAGGGGGGGGGG